TAGTGTTGTTGATTAAATAAATAAATAAACAAAAATTATTGATGTCATTAGGTTGTGGTTGCGGACACGTCGCCTTTGCCATATTTTTACTCAACATAGAACTATCATTCTATGTTGAATTTTAATTCAAAAAAGTTAATGTATATGTATGTATTTATTTATTTAATTAGAGACGTAAGTCGTTTTATTATATTTATTTAAGTTAATATATAATATAAAAATAACATTGACAAATTAAAATACCTTTATTTACGATGTATAATTAGTCAATTTCTCCCTCTTAGAAAAAAAAACATATTTTCTTAAATTATGAGTACCGTGTCGCTTTACTAAAAATCGGTAAATTACAACCACATCCCTGAAGTCAAATTAAATACAAGAAAACAATCATTAATTTTTAGAAATTACATCCAACCCTCTGAAGTTTGTTATATTTTTGCACCCAACACCCTAGAAAGGCTGTTAATGTAAGAAATTGAAAATTTCCAGGGGTTGGGTGTAATTATGGAAAAAAGGTATTTTTGTAAATAGACATTATATAGAGGCAATTGTAATTATTCAGCCAATTCGCCTACCTTCAAAATCCGCCTTGCCCTAACCATGATATTTATGAAAATATGAGTAATTAATTATTTAATTACATTTTTTAAGGCTAGCAAATCTTAATGATATATAAAATTGATATTGTGAAATAAATAAATGTATAGGGAGAAGAAGGGACATTTGATTTTGCATTCGTGGATGCTGACAAAGAGAACTACGTCAACTACCACGAGCAACTCTTGAAGCTGGTCAAGCTTGGAGGAATTATAGCCTACGACAACACCCTGTGGTCCGGCACCGTGGCATTGGTCGACGAAGAGTTGAGCCAGGAGTGGATCGATCGTATTGGGGAGCATCGCATAAATCTCAGGAAGTTGAACACTTTCTTGGCTGCCGATTCTCGTATTGAGTTGGCTCACCTTTCGATCGGCGATGGGCTCACACTCTGCAGGCGCGTTAAATAAATTAATATTAATCATTAATTAATATTATACAAAATTGTTTTTCTTTTATTATACTATTTATATTTGTGTTTCTAAATAAGCGTGCTCTCATGGGATATTGGGATGGTTGTTTGAGTTTTTTTTTTTGGTTCTTTTCTTTTCTCTTTGATGCAATGTTGATTAAAGTTTTAATGTTATGTATTTTATTATGGAATTTACTTTAATTCAATGAATTTAATTTCGAGTTATTATGTTTTTCTTCTTTACATAATTAATGCTATACTATCATTAATTATATCGTTCGTAGACAATTTAAAGTTGTGTTTGATAATGTAATCTAAGAACTCTTTTGATTTGATAGATATCGGGTGATAGACAATTTAATCACCCCTGATACAGTGTTTGGCATACATGATCCAAACATGGCATTGATTCTCGGCACGTTATCCAATCATCCAAATGGATGATTAATTGTCCCACTTATGTAGGTGAGACTGTGTAATTCAAAATTGATGCATAATCGGGAAAGTACGAAATATCCCTCACTTGATGCATAAATTACACGAAAACTATGTTGATAAGGGTTAAGTTATAAATACAGACATTATCAATCACAATCATTCCAATGAAACATAAAATTGAAGTTATCCAGTATTAATAGTATATTAGTACTTTCCAAATAATTTTTTCATGTGAATTTATGAATAATTGAACAAATAAGATGTTACCACTGAATTATGAGAAACATACAAGAAGAAAATATAGTTTCGCAATGATACACTTAATTGGTAAAAAAACGTTGTTTATAAACACTAGATACGCGTTAAATTTATTAAAATAAAAAAAAAAAAACATTTTTTTTATACCTACAAGCTAGTAAAATAGTATTTCAAATTAAAAAGATATATTAAAATAAAATAAAAATAGTATGCACATATATTATAAGGATAAATTTATAAAGTGGATGAAGATAATAATAATAATAATAATAATAATATGTAAATAATTTGATATACGGGGAAGTTGATTGAATTTAAATGTTATTTAATTATAGACATGGTCAAAATTAATTCAATGTGTTTTATTTGAATTTCTAATAACGAATAGTGTATTGTTTTTTTTTTGTTGGACGAAGTTGTTGGAGTGTTCAAGGAATAATGTTATAAATTTCAATATATGTTAACTAAATTAATCATTTTAAGAGGAATACTTTCATTTGTTTTGGTTCATATATTGTCATTGATTAAGACAAGTAACAAACCTTTTTTTTTTCTTAATGAAGAAAAAGAAAAAGAAAAGAAAAAGACAAGTAGCAAACTTAATTTTTAATTCATGACTTGTCCCAATAATGGGTAAGTAATTGCTAACTGCTAAGTAAGTCCTATTTTGTGGATTACATATTCTAGTGGAACAACTAAGTGATGTGATTTCCCTATAAAAAAACATGTTCTAATTGATGTGATATGTAGACACATAGGGATTTTTCAACAACCACTCTTGTGTAAATTGTTTTTTGTTTTTTTTCCCTTCTCTTTTAATAATTAATATATTTTTTCCATTTTGTTTATTTAAAATTAAAATAATTTGAATAATAAGAGTTAAAAGAGTTATTTTTGTAGTTTTTATTTTATTAAGGGTAAATTACAAACACCCTCCTGAGGTATGGTTAATTTTTGAAAAAACCCCTCTTGTTTGGATAATTATATCTACCCCTCTCAACTATGTTTTTTCTTACACCTCCACCCTCATAGTGTTAAATTCAACATAATCATCTATATTCTGTGAAATGTGTTCTATTTTGTACTCGTTTTGTGTAAAAATACAGTTTCTGATGCACCACAATCTGATATATACAAGCCAAAAAACACATATTATGATTATCTTGCTTCAAAACGTAGAGTTCGAATAAGATAAAACGGGTACAAAAGTGATAATATTCTATATAGTCTCGAAGATTCCACTAAATTTGATCAATTGAGGGGCTGGTTGTAATTATCCAAACAAGAGGGGGTTTTTCGTAATTTGACCATATCTTAGGGGTGGTTGTAATTTACCCTTTTATAATGACTAGTCTATATTGATTTATATAAGTTTTAAGTAAATATAATTATTATTATTTTTGTTTCTTTTCCTATTTCCCAATAGATGTATAATAAGCAATTTCACCCGTAATTGCAAATATCCCTAACTTGTTGTATGGTTTGTTTGATGTTACACCCGACGAAATACACTGTGTGATTGTTAACCGTTAATCTGCACATAATCACACGCACACCCATGTGCTTAGTGGGAAGTTATTTCAATTTTCACCTCATCAACAATCGATAATTATCTAATCTATTGCATCAGGTGTAACATCTCAAAGACAAATCATATTCCTTTTTTAATAAATATATTTTGGCATAAATAAAGAATATCCCACTAACATGCATGATAGTAATTGTTACTGGTAAATTGTAATTGTCAATAATCCACCCAACTCCCAACAAACACATACACACACGCACACCATATTATATTGTTGTAAAACTATACACATGTTCTCACTCCTTTTGTTTTTGGCATAAATCAATTTCACTTGCAATTGCAATATCTTTATAATTTCTTTATTCTCTATTTCCCCATCAAACATGCATAATAAGCAATTTCATTACAATTGCAAATATGCCTAACTTGTTGTATAAGCAAATCCTAGTACATTTTTTTGGCATAAATAAGGAACTAAAATGCATGATAATAAATGATACTTGTACTTGTAAAATATCCTCATATTGTTGTACTAATTAAGCAAATCTCACTCCCTTTGTTTTTGGCATAAATCAAGAAGTATCCAACTATAATATATAATCAATTTTACTTGCAATTGCAAATATCCTTATGATTTCTTTATTTTCTATTTTTCCCATCAAACATGCATAATAAGCAATTTTACCTGCAGTTGCATATATCCGTATAAGCAAATCCTAAATCATGAATGATAATGAATGTTACTTGTAATTGTAAATGTTATATGTAATTTCAAATCTCACTCCTTTTTTTTTTTTGTTTTTGCATAAATCAGGAACTATCCAACTAACATGTAATCAATTTCATTTGCATATACATTCAAATTTTAACACGGATCTCTCTATTTTAATTAAGTAATTGAGGAGTACACATCTCCTTCTTCTTATCTTAATCTTGTAAAAAAAAGGAGTTATTATACATATCACAAAACTTATTTTGAAAAAGAAGAGATAACTAATGAAATGATGCTTATTTGTTTCATGAAATCTATTTAAAAAAAAATGAATAAAAATTAAAGTATACATTCATCATCAAATTTTAGCATAATTCTAAAAGTTTTCACATGATGACCTAACTTCCACTAAAGTCAATCAACATTGACCATTTTGGCATTCTTATAACCACCTACCCCTAAAGTTCATCTTAATAAATATTTTTTAATATTTATTTCCTTAAAATACAATGAATATCCACCAAAGTGTATGGTACGGTCATGAATTTTCAATCAAAAAGAAAATTATAACCACCCATAATCAATTTGTTTTCACCACAATTTGGCCAACAAACATTCTTAATCATACTTTTAGCAACTCAAATGTCTTGAATGATAAGGCTTATCCACAAATTAAGAAGTGTCCTTTTTCACTTTCTTTTGTTTATTTATTATTGTTTTAAATATTCTTCCCCACTCATATATTCCCACTTTGATCCAAATATTAATCAATCATGTTATTTTATTACATAAACATTGTGCAACTAAATATACTAAGGCAAGAGTTGGGTTCAAATGAATATGAGTGTTAATCAAACTCACCAAACATGACACATGGTTTAAACTTTATACTGCGATGGCGAAACCAGTATAGCATTAAGGGGGTCACCGCCCTTCTAACATTTTTCAAATTTTCATTATTTTATTTCGATATATAAAAAAAGTCGTATATAATAGCATTAACAGTGTTCGTAGAATTTGTTTTAATGCATTTGGACCCCTAAACTTAAAATTCTAACTCCGCTTACAAGTATCGATGAAAATTAGGAAATAATGCATTGAACTTCATAATGACCTCAAAACCCTAAGTATAGAGATAAGGGCAATCTTGCTTCCCTTGTGCACTATATATATTTAATTTCTAAATAGACAGCACCATTATTATTAAGGGCGAATGGCAAAAATGCCCATCACGTGGGACTTAAATGCATATTGGTCCACAAAGAAAACAGTCTCTCAATTAAACCCATTCCCTGTTTTGAGTCTAAAATACCCTCCATAATATAATTCTTATTAATTCCATCCATTATGCTCTAATTTTTTTAATATTTCACATTGACCCTGGATTTAAACAAATATATTACATTAACCCACAAATTTTTTTTTCAGAAAATAAATTTTTTTCTGAATTTTTTTTCCGGCTAGATTCCGGCGTAGACTTTTTTTTTTTGAAAACTTTTTTTTTCCTGAAATTTTTTTCTGGCCGGTCTCCGGCGTTGACTTTTTTTTTCGATTTTTTTTTCTTAGAAAAAAATATTTTAATTAATATTACTGTCTTGGCTACTAAATTACTGTCCCAGTCAAAATTGCTAGAATATTCATTTTAGGAGGCACCGTGCAATGAATTAACGAATTCGGGTAAAAACGTGCAATTTTTTTTTGTTTGGGGAACAAAGTGCAAAACAGACCTTAATTTAGGTGGCAAACTCAAAGTGCAAAACATACCTTAATTTAGGGGGCAAACTGCTTTTTACTCTAATTGCAAAATTGCTATTCGCGGTTATTAATAAGTTGCAAAATTGCTATTCGCGGTTATTAATAAAATATTCCATCTCTCTAGAAAAAGAAGGTTTTGAAGAGAATTTGCTTAAAAATCATTCTTGTTGGTGTGATATACGAAAACAAATGAGCTCGTCGGATGAAGATCGTGATAGCTGATCTAGCGAGGTAAAGATTTCTTCTTCTCGATCGGAAAAACTCGAAAAATTGGCCAAACGCCCAACTTGGGCGTGCACAGCTTCTTTGGGCGCCCGAGTTGGGCGTCCGGTTCAAACCGTTTTTAAATTTTTTTTTTTTTTTTAAATAAATTTTTAATATTCTTTTCAGGACAATACGTCTAGAGTTGAAGTTGATCATACCGATTATTTTACATGCTATGAATGATGAAATGAAGTCTTTACATGTTAACCATACTTGGATTCTTGTACCTAAACCTCCTGCATGCTCTTTAGTGGACTGTAAGTGGTTGTTTA